TATACAGAGATAACATAATACCATATAAAACAATAAATAGTTGGGGATTTACGAATGCAAAAGCAAGCAGAATGGGGCAATGTGGTCATTTATTCTGGCCCAGAAACGGCCTCTGGAAACAAAGAGGTATTTGCGTCTCATTGCAGTTTCTGTCTCGTACAAGTCACTACCAAGTAGGTCCACATCGCAATATTCTGTTGATGGTGGATCCCTTCCCGACGGTAGGGAGCTTCCAATCTGCCATGGCGCCCAGATGGACGCCCGAACCCTTCCAATCTGCCATGGCGCCCAGATCTACCCCAGAGCCAATGGGTTTGAGGCTACGCAAAGAAGGCCCTGGGAGGGTTCCCACGTCATCCTTCCATGGAAAAGCTGCCTCCCCTTGCTGCTTTGGCATTTCTGTCGCATTTTCAAGTAGTAGTATTTGTCGTATAGCCTCTGGGTGCTCCTCGGGTAGGTTCAGGTGACAGTCCCAGCTGTCATAACCTTCCCTCATACTGGAGTGAAAAAAGGCAGCCCCTTCTTCGCTTTCCCCGGGTCTACAGGAGGCTTCCTGGGCACAGTGACCAGAACACCACGCGATATTCTGAATGCGGGCCACCCGTTGACACGGGCTCCGGCCTTTTTAACGTCTTGTCTAATTTTGCCCAACACGAAGTTTGACGTTTTCGTGGCGGCTGCGCACCGGGTAACACTTGCGTCAAGGTGTCGGCCCCCGTGCCAAGAGCAGCTCCTTGGTCACTCGTTCTCACCGCCGACTCCCACCAGCTTATTCTCAAAGCTGAGGTCTTTCGCTCAGGAGCTCTCGGTGAGCGATTTGTCAAGAGCCTTTTGAAAATCTAAGTAAACAGTGTCTGCTGATCGCCCCGTCCGTGTGTTTACCGACACCCTCAAAGATCTCAAAGTTTAGTGACACACGACTTTCCCTTGTGGAAGCCATGGTGATTCTTTTGACAGCAGCCTCGTTCGCCTGTTTGCTTACGAATCCAATCTTTTAAAACTTTTTCAACAGATTTACCCTGGACAGATGTTAAACTAAGCCACCTATAATTTCCTAGTTCCCTTTTTGGAAAATGGCATCGCGTTGTCCAGTTCGCATTCCTCCGGTGCAAAGACTGATCTTAAAGATGGGTTGCATATTTTCATAAGAAGGCTGGTGATTCTGCATTTGAATTCTTTAAAAATGCTAGGATGGGTGCTGCTGGGGCTACTGATTTATTTCAGTTGGTTTGAGAATTTCATCTTTTCCCCCCACGGTCTGCCTTAGTTTCTCAGGCTTCCTTCCTGAGAACATCAGGTCAGGTATCTGTCCTGTATCTTCTGCAGTGAACAGGCAAGAAGAGTTCGCTCATTCTCCGTAGGAGGCAATCCATTGCCCGTGTCATCCATACTTGCATACCGAGTGTGGTATCCTGCAAGGGGTTGGGCCCAAACATAGCAAATCTGGACTCAATTTCCTCTTCGCTCTGAGGTGGCAAAGCTCTTCTCTCAGCTTCACTCCACCTCATGCCTGGTCGGTGTCGTTTTTCCTCCCTGGTAGCCGCTATCACCCAGCCTTTCCAGTGAGCAAAATGAAGTGCCTCAGCTACCCAAATAAATGGGATCCAGCTCTCGCAAACCTTCCTTCCATCTTCCCGGAAGCCCCTCTCTGGAGCAGCAGGGGTGGGAATCGTGCACCTCGGTTGCCCTGCAAGACACCGGCCTGGCCTTGCTGTCTTTACAGCTCATTTATTTCGAAAACTTTGGTGCTGAAACCCAGCGTAATCGATGAGCGCTGTGTTGTCTCCGAGAAGTTTATGCGTTTGCTGGATCGATGAAGAGGGATTTCAGGAAAGCCACGTGGGGTTTGTCATGTCAGCCGTGTGTTGGTTATGAAAAGGATGGGAAACGGGGGACTTTGGAGCCAGGTGGCAAATGTCCTAGAACCAGCGGTGAGATGGCGCCGCCGGGACCCTCGTGGGACACGGTTCTCGCCCTGCACTTCAACTGCAGTGCCTCGCTCTCCTCGTGCTCATTAAAATGCTAAAATGTGCCCTTGCTTACCTTTGCCTCTTCCATGGCCGTTTCCCCACTTCCTAATTCCCTTTCGTATTAGCCACCTAAACTAGGTGGTGTCATCCAACAACCTGGCCACTTCACCGCTCGCTCCTAATTTTCTTTATTTATTTATTTAAAACATTTTTATGCCGCCCCCATCGCAACAAAGCCTCGGGGCGGCTCACAACAAAAACACAATATACAAATATAACAATTATACAATAAAAATATTAAAACCTGGTGCATCTCGGCTTGAAAGATTTAAAATCCTATAAATACCAATAAATTAACAATTAAAATAAGTTTTAAATAAAATGGTCTTAGCCTGGCGCCGAAAAACAAATAACGACGATTTTGCAATATTTATGGATGAGTTGGAAAACATTGGTTCCCTGTAGACCCCTCTTTTAATCCCTTGAGTGGGAGAATTTGCCATTTATTTCTACTCTCTGGATTCTCTTCTCTAACTGGTTATTGGTCTATAAGAGGACTTCCCCTCGTACCCCAGGTTGCATCCTAAGTTTGCCGAGGAGTCTTTACTGAGATTATTTTTTCAAAAGCCTTTTAGGAATCCAAGTAAGCCGTGACTATGGGATCACTTGCCTGCACATGTTTATAGAAACTCTCAAAAAACTCAAAGGTTAGTGATACAGTAAAAGTCACGCTGAGTATTTTTAGCTGACCTTGTTCTTCTATATGCTTACTGATTCTATCCTTAATTCTTTCGGCTGATTTACTTGGAACACATGATAAACTAACCAGCCTGCGATTTCCTGGATCCCTTTTTAAACATTGGTGAAACTTTGGCCATCCTGCAGTCCTCTGGTACAGAGGCAAATTTTAAGGGCATGTCACATAATTTTGTAGGGAGATCAGTGGTTTTGTATATGAGTTAATAACTCTAGGTTGGATACCATCTGGGCCCACTGATTAATGAACTTTCGATTTGACAATAAAGTGGAGAACTTGATCTTTGCTTCCTCAGCTCCGTCCTGAAAAAGTCAGTTCAGGAATAGGTGTTCTTCCCGTATCGTCTGTTGTGAAGAGAGGTTAAAACAATTCATTCTTCTTCTCTGCGATCTCAGGACCCTCCTCTAATGCTCCGTTGGAAAGTGGGCAGGTGCCCTTCTGAAAGCTGCGTGCGCCATTTTTTGCATGCAAAGGAAGTCTAAGCTCTCCTCAAACCTTTCTTGTGGCTTTTGGGATCGTTTCCCAAAACGATTGAGAACTGTCGCCTGTGTGACACCCCAAAGCTGCTTGGGCAGGCAGAGGAAGCCCTCCGCTCGCTCGGTGAACCCCTGCTTTTCACCCCCTGCCTTGGCCTGCAGACTTGGGGCCTGACGTGACTCTGTAGGCAGGCAGTGAGTTACTTCGCTTGTGAGAAGCCACACAACTGCCAGAGTAAACCAAGTACTTCTCTTCTCCACTCACTGGCAAACTGTTGCGTACTTTTCTGAGGCACATGACAAAACAGCAGTGCCACTGAGGTTCTTAAAGACACCTCTTTCTACCCTCCCTGCTTTCCGGCTTGGCAGTTTCTTTGCTGAGCCGAACCTCTAGTTTGGCAGATCTCCCCCTTCCTCCCATGAAAAAGTGGTCCAGCATTGAGCAATTGAGCTTGAAAGTGCACGAAGGAATGGGACACGCTCCACTGAATTGAGTAGGGAGGAGTCTGATTGTGCCAGGAGAGTCAATATGTTTTCTGCTCCGTTGGATGAGTGATTAGATTGATGTGGTTTATTTGTTAAATGATGGAAGTGGTTTTAAAAATAAATGAAGCATGAAGCATCAATTCTTGCTCGTACAGATAATTTATTATTGCTGGCCTGAAAAGTGCTCCGCTTTGTAAATTGATCATTAATTTTATCAAGTGTGTTAAGGTTTGTTTAGTGTAGTTCAACTGTAAAACACACACAGGCGTGCGCATGTACCCACACCCAAGCACCTGACTTATTCCTCATTATTGGATAGGTCAGCGTGTAGAAAATGGGCAACATTATGTTCGTCTAGAAGGACAATATGGAAACTTGTCACTTCTAAATATAACACTTCCCCACATCTGCTATGTATGTATTCCATGTCAACACTGCCCATCAGCCACGGCTCTCCGATCGGGCTGCTTTTCACACTGACCTTTTTCAAGGTGGTGATGTCCCTGTCACTGAGGCTGCTTAGCAAATGAAGATCTTCCCCACCGTTCTCTTGAAAGTTGCATTTGCAGGGAAGCAGGCCCTGAGTAGCCAGACCCCAACGCTTTAAGACGAAACTTGAAGCCATACTCGGGGCTCATACGTCCCGTCCCCGCCTCCCGCAAGCGTCCCGGTGGCCGCGACTCACAGCTTCGCAGACCCAGCGGGAGAAACGGCTAAGGAACGGAGGAACTTGCTGGAAATGCTGCCATGAGAAATGGTGCGTCTGCCTCCGTGTGCGGGGAGCGACAGCATGGTGAAAATGGTTCTCGAGAGCCCCTCTTGGCTTAATCTTGTGTTATGGTTTGTCGGAAGCCTTTTCTACTCCCAGCAACCTCGTTCCTAGGATACAAACAGACCCTGTGCCAGGAGGGGAACTCTGCCAGCCCAGGGAGAGGGGCTTGGCGTGGTGGTGTTTGCTGGTGTCCATATGTTCAGGTCGGCATGTCTCCCCAGAGGCGAGTTAACGCACGCCGGCCCAGCCGCCTCCTTCCCCTTGGAGCCTGCTAGAGGGCTCCTGCTGCCTGCCCATGTGTGGATGTTGATTAATTTTTCATTTTTAATGAAGTTTGATCATGTTTATTATTTCACATGATTGACTGCCTGGTACTCTTTCCATGTAATTGATAATGCACATTTCTCTTCATCTGTCTCGCGTTTCTTCGGGGCAAAGTTGCGAGATTGTGTTCTGTGGTTAATGTTAGATTTATTGGTCCCATTAGATGTATAAATTATCTCTCTCTCTCTTTTTTTTCTCTCCTCTTCTCTCCACAGGAAATTCTACAGACCCTCACCAAGTTCTGCTTCCCCTTCTATGTGGACAGGTAGGGTTAGATTTCTGTATTTTACAAGAAGGAAAAAAATGCACACAACAACTCTGCAATAAAACAGTGGCAGAAAATAAAAACCATACCATTCTTAATGCTCTGTCTACCTGAACGTGATTTAAAGTACCCAAGTGTAAATTACAGCGGCAATATCTTTTTTCCCAAGGACTTTTATAGGCGCCATCAAAAAAGTTTTAATTTTACCATGCATCGGCAACAGTCAAATCGGTTTTCTTCTTGCTTCTAATGAAGCTTTTAATGCGAAAGCTAAACTTTTGCTGATTTAATAGTTACGCCCCAGCAGCTGACAACGTACAGTATTTACAGCCGCAGTTCCTTATATGTATTCGGCACGTTCAGTGTGAGATATGAGTAGGTGAGATTGGAATCCCTCTTTTCGGCGTGTCCGAAGTTTTTATTGGTGTAGTCAAATAGATGTCTTGGAGAGGAGGAGACTCGGAGGGGATCTGTTGGCGACATGTAGGTACGTGACGGGGTGTCACACAGAGGTGGGTCGGGAGCTGTTTTCCTCTGCAGAAGAGGGCAGGGTGTGTTCCAGTGGAGCTAAGCTCAGGGAAGCTGGCTTCAATTTGGATGCCAGGAAGTTCTTCCTGACGGTTAGGACCCCCAGGGCACAGAATGGGCTTCCCCGGGAGGTGGCTGAGGCCCCACCGGTGAGGGTGGTCAAGGATAGGCTGGACATGCACAGGGTAGGCATGTCGTGAGCGGAGCCGGCTGGAGCCGGGGGTCAGGCTAGATGGCCCGGGGGGACCCTTCTGACTCGCTCTGTTTCTATGTCTTCCCCTCCTTTCACTGCTGTGTTAGCTAGATATCTGGATTTCGAACAGGGTCCAGACTAGTCGCTTCATTTCTGGGAGTGTCGACAAGCACCTCTCGTGTTTGGTGGCCTTGGGCTCTTAAAAGGGCAACCTGTTCGGTTCTGCCGGGAAGTAAACCCCATGGAGTGCATGACACGTGTGTGGAAAGTCCAGTCTCAGTCACGCTGCTTCACTGCGGTTTCTTCGTGCATTTCTCTGACGCTGCAATGCTCCCGACTTGAACCTCCCAACACACCTGGGTTGCTGTGAACGAATACGGAGGTACACACGGCCCGGGACCCCCATTCCTGGGTTGTTTGCCCTGCTGCGTGTTTTTGCATTGCATTTATATCCCACCTTCCTTCCCCTTGCAAAGGACCCGATTCTGTCCTTGTAGGAGCCATTCTGTGAGGCCGAGAGGCAGTGACTCACCCTCCGTCAGCCCGTGGGCCTCATGGCTGCCTGTGGGGCGGAATGGCAGGTTGCCCAAGTCCCGGCCCTCGTTCTAAACTCGGCTCTACACTGGCCCTCCTCTGCCTTTCGGGGAGCGAGGAAACTCTGCTCTCGTGGGACATGGCGAAGCAGTGGGCGCTCCTGTTGCAGCAAACCAAGGTTCTGAACTTTCGGCTTTTTGTAACGTGTGAACTGGGCCAGCATATGAGTGAACGAGGTGCCAGGAAGGAAGCGACCCCAGCAGCTCCTGCCCTTGAAATGCAGAGTGGCCGAAGGGCATGGGAACGATGTTCGGCAGGGTGAGGGGTAGTTCTGTTTCATGCCCGGGCGCCTGCGTGGTGGTGTCCACGGAGCCCAAGTGGGGAGCGAAGGCCCATCTGGGTGAACCGGGAAGGGTCCGTGGCTCCGGGGCGGAGCGTGTGCTTTGGAGGCGTCATGCTCATCCCCGGCTCGCCCAGCGGAAGAACCAGGTGGCAGGTTCGGGGCAAGGTGGTGCTTCATATCGGAGAGCGGGTGCCGGTCCGAGAAGGTACGGCTGGGCACTGGCTTCATTCATTCCTCGTGCTTGTGTGGGCCAATCGTAATTTTTGTTTAAGAGCATCATTGAATTACTGGCCAAACAACCTGCTTTGGGATGGTCCATCGTCCGTATTCCAGTGCAGAGCTGAGACTGTCCAACTGTTATTAAGCAGTTTTGTCCCGGGGCCTTCAGACGGGTAAGCAGCAAAGCAAATGATAAGGGCGCCCACTGAGAGAGAGGATTTCCTTTTGCCAAAGTCTGCGGAAATCCCTCACACTGGCTCAGCCCTGGGTGCGACCCCCCTGCTCAGAGCATGAGATGCTCCGGCGCAGACCGTCTCGCGTGCTGCCCTCTCTCTGGCGGTGCTTGGGCAGCGTCGCGCGGTGCTGCGTCTCCGGGCTGGTCCTTGGGCACGAGGGGTGGTCCCTTCCAAACAAGCAGGTGTTCGGGGCGGCTGGCGTTCCCTTCCCAGCTCCCTGGCCAAGGCGCAGGTGGTGCGAAGCAAGGCCCGGTCTTCCCGGGCGTCCATTTGTGTGTTTGCTCAGACTTGCAGAAGCAAGAATGTCAAGAACTATTTTTGACTCTGAGCGCGACCCGATCTTAATCACAATCAGTCCAGAAACATGTTTTCCTCCTTTCTGTGGAATTTGCATGGCATATGCAGCAAGGAGGTTTCCCCCTCCCTGAATAAATCATGTTTATTTGCAATTCATACCTGCATTTTCCTCTGAGCATTTGTTCACCTATCATTTTTACCCCACAGGCCAGACTGAATATGTATGCAGGGGATAAATCAGCGTGTCTTTTTTGAACATAGAAAAACCCTTAAAAATAAAGTGAAGCTCTTTTGGCATGAGGATAAATGCAAGAGTTGGGTAATTTAATACCATTAGTCTATTTCTTCCTCTTAGTTTGCATAAAGCCACATAGGAAATTTTTGCATGTACATTTGTGTGGATGCGTTTATGTTAAAAACAGGCAAACAGACAAACACTTCCAGTTTTGTTAAGACTTCTCCTGCAGTTAATTTATGTTGGGGCTCAGCTCTTGAACCTCTCCTGGATGTTGTCCTCGAAAGGTATAAAGGGAAGAGCACCTGAGACTCTGTGCAGCATCTCTTGGGGATGGGCTTCCGCAGCCCACCTGGAGGGGCTTTTGTGTCAGGTGGGGGTCTTCAAGGAAAACCTGAGAGCCTGCACCCCTCTCTCTTAGAAATGGCTCTCCAGGTTCATGCGCTGACGTTTGAATGCACAAACCTTTCCCTGCGCCCTTAACACCTGCCTACATGTACAAATTTTTAGTTAGAGTGACCCTAACGGAAGAGAGGTGTACGGAAGCTACACAGGTGCTTGTGCCTCAGGCTAAGGGACCTGCGTCACCTTCTAGAAGCAGCTAATTTGGTGATCACCTCCTTTAAAAAAGCATTAGTGGCATGAAGTAAGGCATCCGCCTCCTTCACACTCTCTCCTCTGCACAAGTGTGTTTGTGGCACACATTCCACCCCTTTCCCAGGAGTGAGCTGGCTCACGACTATCCTCCCCCTTAAGCCCATGGTTCCAGCAGAACCTTTTTTGGAAAGCGACGGCTCCGTGTTTTCGGTGCAGCGGGAGAGGGCCCTGGTCTGGCTGGGTGGTGGAGCACAGTGGCTGAGCCGACCTTTCCGTTCCTCTCCTGAGGTTTGGAACGTGGAGCTGTGTTCCGCGAATTAAGTGAGCGTTGTCCGCACACCAGGGCGTGAAAATACGCCTTTCCCCTCCTACCTCGCCCTGCCTTCGCTCGGCTTACTCCGAGGGCTTCCCACGGTTGCTCTTGCCCTGCCTCTGGCTTGTGTTCTCCCGCTGTCCCTCGCTTTTGGGGTGGACTGCCCGGAATCGCCACTGCCTTGCAGCCGTTCCATCGCCCAGAAAACAGAACGGCTGATGAGCGCCGCGCGGTGCCATGTTTATTAACGAGGCAAAGAGCTGAGGGTGCATGGGCGTGCTTTCTTTGCTGTCATCGGATATAGTTTTCTGACAGGTGGGCAGGCAAAGGCGCTGTCACAGAAGGTCCATATTTGAGAGGAGGAAGTGGTGGGCGGGGGAAGCGACTTGGAAGCTTTTGCAGCCTCGCCGCTGTGGGGCGGATTCCTCCAGCCCCCCGAGGCGGCGTTGGGTGGGGGGCAGCCCCTGCCAGGTCCTTCGGGCCACACCGTAACAAAGTGTTGTAAGTAGGAGGTGCGGCCCTACAAGGGAAATTTTTCCCTATAGTCCAGGAACAAGGTAGGGTGAAGCCAATGCTTTGCACCGAGGGTGTACAAGGATGTTGTTCCTGGTTGTAAATTACGTTGTGTGGCTTGTTCCCAGCCTCCAATGGGAGTGTGTACAGGAATGCAGATTTGGGGGGAAATTTGCAGTTTCTCACACTACATTAGCACGGGAAGAGGCAGGCGTGCACAGATGCACACTTCCGAAGGGGACCATTGATGCTTCCGTGTGCTTGCACCTCCGGAGAAAGCTTGGATTTTGCCCCTTTACTTGTGGGAGGAAGGAGATAGTTGGGAAAATGCTCATTTTTTGACCAGAAAGGATAGGAAAAAGCGGTGTTTGCTTTTTGGAATGCAAACGAGAAGAAATGAGTTTTGAGGAACAATTTGGAGAACCTCAGCAAGCAGAAATGTTCCTTGTTTGCTTGTTTCTAACATCCAGGTAGTAAGAGAATGGGCTTGGACCCGCTTACCTGGCCAGCAGGTGAGAGCCTTCTGCTAGTCTCTTCCCATCTGCAGAAAATGTGACTTTTGCCTGGACAATTCATGTTGCAGCTTGCTTTCTTTATTTAAAGTTTTTATATACCACCCCAATGCTGAAAGTCTCTAGTAGCTTCTGTTGCTCTTGTCCTCAGAAGAAGCTTGACAGAAAAACGCCAGTCATTCCTGATTGCATTCCTGGTCTGTTTGCAAGGTATTTCCAGTCTCACGAAAGGTGATGAGTCCAGGTTGGATTGTAGGTTTTCTAGCAGAATGAGAGAGGATTGGGAGTTGGTCAGAAGCAGGACACCTCTCCCAAACCTTTCCAAGGGAGACAACCGCCTGCCTGCTGGCCATATCTTCCCACACCTGCAATGAATAAACTTCTGCTGCTAGTCATAAGCAGAGACCAGATGATTGCAGAAAGGTCTGATCTGGATAATTCACCTGAGTGCCTTGAGATACATAGAAACAGAGCGAGTCAGAAGGGGTCTCCCGGGCCATCTAGTCTGACCTCCGGCTCCGTTCCTGACATGCCTACCATGTCCATGTCTAGCCTATCCTACTCTTACAGTATCTCTCCAGATTCCCGGGCATGCCTGGGGCTCCGGTGCAAGCCCCAGTCATCCCGTTGCAAACCATCAAGAACTGGATTAAGAAATTGGAGACTGTGATGTGTAAACCTCTTAATGGGAAGAAGCGTTCCCAGTGAGTGGTGCTAATGGGAACCAGCGGAATATCACTCCTTTTGCGAAAGCGCCTTTAGAGGGTCTTGAGACGTGGGAAAGGCTAACGGCTGTGAGGATGAGTTGTGGTCCAGATCTCATTTGAGGGCAGCTGTGTTCTCCTTTCTGGTCCCCGTGCATCACGCACACACGAGCCTCACCTTTTCTGAGGGCGGTGTGGGGGAAATACTCCTGAGCCACCACACGGAGTTATGGAAAGGATCACAAAACAGAAATAAGGAGTAGTTTAGATGCTGAAAGCTCCCTGCAGACGGCAAGGGGTAACCTTCAGCCCCTCGAAGAACGACCCAGCTCTCTTCAATGGCGCATTGTCTTTGGGCTGAACCTGATTGTTCTGTCGGAGCCCGTTCAGGATCCCCCAGGGGTAAGTCGAACCTACAATTTCCCCGTGTGCGATGTGACAGGCACAAAAGCCCGGCAAAGCGTAAAGAAATTAAAATGCACGTTTTGCGTTTCTGCTCCTGCACTTCACTCTGGAAATTCATGCTTTAAGTAATAGGTTTCACACATGGTATAAAGCAAGCTGTTATTTATGAGAGAGGTACCAAGCTGTTAGCAGTAATATCCTTTACTAATTATAGTGTTAGAAAGGGAGGCCTTACACCCTGCCTTAACTTCTAGGGCCTGCTTCGGCCCCGAGGCAGAGCCGCGTTCTCTCCCACTGCAGAATTGGAGGCGTTGGCCCCCGTCGAGGTGGGCTTCTTTCTCAGTGGGAGGAGTCCTAGCCTTGCTAAACAATATTATTGTATTGTTTGTGCTCTTGCAAAAGCGAAAATGAGCACCTTCGTGCCGAGTGCGGCGTGATTGGGGCTTCCGTGAAAGTCCCCGGTGCGCATCTCACGAGCGAGGCTGCTCCTGGGTTGGCGGCCCCGGTGCTTCAGAGTAATTTCTCTGGCAGGAGGCTGCCCAGGTAAAGTCCTGTTGTTGTGGCAACCTTTGAAAGTGCGACGTTCAGGCATGACTTAAAGAAAGGGTTTCTGTTAGAGGGAGTTCCCCCCTGTGGCCTTTTGTCATCCCCTCACCTTATTTATTTTATTTATTTCAAGTTTTTCTCTGCCGTCCACTACTAAAAAAAGTCTCTGGACAGCATGCCTTGGCGGAAATCCACCAAGCATATTTAGCGTCATTGTGATGGTTAGTCAATTAATTGGTTAGAAATAGTTCAAAGCAACGGCACCCCAGACATACTCGCCCAAAAGTAGATAGTTCAGTGAGGCGCATCCCGGCTTGTTTTCTTCGCAGACAAATACAGATAATTTCCCCTTTGCCTCCGGGAGATGCCTCTGTCCAAATCGGATGGCCGGGTTTTGAACTGTCCCAGTGCTTCACTGGGAGAAAGGGCCTGTTCTGGTGTGCAGAGTGCCTGGGTCTGGTTGAAGCTCGAAGAGCCCAGTTACGAGCTTAGTTTTTCCGTAGAAACAGTCATACGGTCTCGCCTCTCCCCCTCCTCACCCCCCAGCCACCTTCCAGCACACCTGGGAGGAAGCTTCAGGGCACACCAGGTGGGAGCTCATGTCCAGCTTCCGCTTTCTCCCGCCGCTCAGCCGCCCCCCGGCAGAGGATCACCCGGCAGCAGAGTGAGGATCCGGCTGGATCTTTGTCCCCAGAAGCAGCATGTGGCCGAGGCACTTCTCTGGGGACCCCGGGGCCAGTCGGAGCCCTTTGTGGTAGCCGACAGTCGTGGGATGCTGCGCAGCCACGGTTTCCGAGGACCGAAGGTTCCCCAGAAGAATATTGGTTTTCTGAAGAAAACTGTGCTTTGTTTGTAGCTACTTCTCACGTATCTTTGCTTTGTCTTCCGGATTTGAGAGAAGTGGAAATGCTGCTTTGAAAATTGTGGGTGTTGTCCACGATTTTTATTAAAAAAAAAAAAATCAGTAATGTTCTTTAAAAAAATATTCTGCCCAATTAATCAGGGCATTTTTAGTCCCTCAAAAGCTTCCGTTCTGAAATGCTTAATCTGACGCATCTCTTGATTTCATCGCTCAGTTCGTTTAAGCCCAATTAAAACGCCCTCAGTTAATCACGCGGCACATTTTAAAGGGAAGGCCCTTCGCCGCTCTTGCCGCCCCAGCCGTGCAGTGGCCTCCTTCGTCCCCGTACTGGCTTCCCGGACGCAGAGCGAGGTCCCTGCCTCAGCCTTCAAGGCCTTCTCATGTCTCTCCACTCATATCCTAGAGCATCCGGGGGGCTTCAGTCTCTAACTCCATCACTTGAGTCGTCGGAAGGTACAGATGTGAAACCTTGATGGGATGTGCTGGTTTGCTCTTAGCTGATTTTCTCTCCCACCCCGCAAACCTGGCAGCATCCTCCTGGCATAATAGAAGGATACGAGGGCCAACCCTGCGCTCGACGCAGCATCTCAGGTGAAGCGTCCCTGCCGGGTGGCTTCCAGCTGCATCCGGAGGGCCTCTCCTACTCCATGGAAGAGCCCACGGCCTCCCGGGGCCCCTGGTTGATGGCTGCATTTCATCCAGGTTCTGCCCTGCGGCTTCATCCCCTTTGGACCTCATCACTGTTCTAAATGGCTCCAGTTTGCACCGACTGGATTGGGTGGGGTGGACTTGATATTTGCACAAATGAAGTTGTTCGTTCTTTGAGGAAAGTTCTAAATTGGCCCTTTCTGTTCATTTGCAATCGCAAATCCACCCCTTTGCCAAGTAGCCCTGCGTAGGGCTATTCCTGGCTTGTAAATATCCGTGCCGGTTTCACTCTGTCCACATAGTTCCCTGCCATGCTGAAGGAATGTGAATTTTAAGACAGGTCCTGAAACATGCAGGATCCATCGTCTACAAACCAAACCAAACCAGCTTGCTTCGGCTTGTTTACTGCTAGGCAAATCCGTTGTTCTCTTCCAGGCCTAGACTAGGTGGCCCAGTGACCTAACTCAGCAAGGCAGAGCTTATGTGCCTACCCAAATATTTTGCCCCAAGGATCTGCAGGTAGCTCATTCCAGCTCCTCCATTTGCTTGACCTTCGTGCTGGTGTCGGGGCCACCCATCCTGCAAAGTTTTACAAGGATATGTCACTGCTTAGAAATCACCTGAGTATTTGTGTCATCTCTCGGTGGTTTATTTCCGAGGACAGAGAGAGATTGTGAAAGGCCCTCACCTGTCCTGGATGCTTGTACTAGCTGAGGAAAACACCTTTTGCTCATTTTGGCAGAAAGGTGGAATCTAATTTCAGGAGGAAGGGGGATCTAAATTAATAAGAGAAATAAATGCTCAGACTCATCTTATTTATATTAAAAGCACATTTGGCGGGGGTGGGAAGACACCTGGCTAACAGCTGGATGTCAGCATATCCGTGGCATCTTCTGAGGTAGTCATTGTTCCCCCTTGGAAGTGGGACGTTTTGTTAGTTCCTGTAAGTAACCCTTCAGTACTTATAATGGACATTCTGCCCCTCTTTTCGCTGGTTCCCAGCTCCTCGCCCTCCTGTGGTGTCTCCCTTGTGCTGAATTTCAGGCTGTGAGGGTCCTGCTCTCCGTAAAATGCTAAACATATTGACAGCCCCTTCCTCTCACAGCAACCCAACTTGTGGTTCGTACAAACAGTGGTTTGTCTTCTAACAAGAGTGACCAGAAAAACCTCCATCGTACGGACAGACCTTCCCTTTGGTGGAAGGACTCGGCCAGCCTGTGCAAAGGTCTGGCTGAAACCCATTCGGGGCCCCAATCTGCAGCTCAAAGACTGTGGTACTGAACAGTCAGTTTAGTTTATTTGGGTGGTTGCTGCCCTTTCCGAGATGAGCCGAGCCGGCCCAGTGCTAGAAAGTCGGGCTGTTCGCCTCACCTCCCCCCGAGCCTGTTTTGTGCATCCCAAGCATAACCAAAAAGAAACCACATCGCGGGAGGAAATGCTTCTGGTTCAGTGACCGGAGTCTGTTTAGATGCTTGGCGTGGCCCGTTAACAGATCCCGTTGTTCTCCCCGCTTCCAGCCTCACCGTTGGCCAAGTTGGACAGAACTTCACCTTCGTGCTCACAGACATCGACAGCAAGCAGAGGTTCGGATTCTGCCGCTTATCTTCCGGGGCCAAGACCTGCTTCTGTATCTTAAGGTGAGCCAGGATGCGGCCCCTCCCGCTCTGGGAAGCTGTGCTGACCCGGCTTCTGCGGCTTCTAATTAGCACTCCCCAGCTGTTGGGGCGGCCGCTCCCTATCTGTGCCTCGGGAAGTCACTGCACTCCGGGGTGCCCTCTGTGCCAGAAATCCTCTTGCACTCGGGGCTTTTCTCCCCGCTATCTGTGTTTCAAAGTTGTTGTTCTCCAGTTCTGAGCTGACGTGGGACTCGTCGCCGGGCGGTGAGGCTGGGGGTTGTGGCTGCCGCTTCCCTCCCCCGTAAGCGAGCCTCGTGGAAGCCGGGTGTGGGGCGGCTCTGGAAGGGGGGCTCCTGAGGGCAGGGGGGCTGTTCTCCGGACGTTGGGGCACCTTGTCGCAGCTCGGGCCCGGCACACAGCCGTCCTCATCGGGACAAAGGCCCGCCTTGTGCAAAGACGTCTTTGCGGGGCTCTGCAGGGCGGCGCCTGCGCCTTTCCACCCCATCCAGGCTCGCGCCGTTTTGCGGGGCCATGGGTCCCGCTTCTTTGCCAGGCGTCCCAGAGGTGCGGCCTGGGAAGGACTCGGGGCATCCTCCCTCGTAGTGGCCTTCCCACGAACGAACACGTGTGCACGCTGAACTGCTTCTCTTGGCAGCGCCTGAAGAGGCATCCCAGCCTCGCGTCCAGAGTTGCGCACGCGTGCGCCTCAACTCAGCCCTGCTGTGGAAAACGAGTGCCACCCGTTTTCTCTCTGGCCCGCGGGGTATTTCCTCCAAATGCCAAAGGGAGCTTGCAGTCCAGCCAGAACACGTGCCAGTGAGACCCGGCAGCCACTTCGCGCCGCAGTGTGTTTGGCTCCGACAAGGGCCTTGTCTGCCATCCACGATCACAATCGGGCACAAGCGCTGGGAGGTGGTCTGGAGGCCCTTGGGAAAGGCTGCCGGGGCCCCGTCCTTCGAGGCTCGGGTCTCGGCCGCGGGAGAGGCCCCCTCGCCAACGGGCTACCGGTGTATTGCACTGTCTTTGAATTGCTTTCCAAATTATTTTGAATGGAGCGCATGTGAAGCACCCTTGATGGAGAAAACTGGCCACACTGAGGACTTTCACTGGTCCATCAGTTGTGGGAGTTTGAAGAGTGCTTTGGACTGGCGGACGCAGGGCGTCTGTACTGAGGCTGTGGCCTCAGTGCGGTGGATTTCCAGGTCACTCAAAGTGGGCTTAATCCGTGTATCTTTTGCAAAGGACTAGCAAGACCCATTTCTGCAGGTTCGACCTTTGGACATTTTTAGAATTTGCTGCCCTCCAAATGGTGCTGAGTTTCCGAGGGAAGTTTATAAAAATCTGAAATCCACTAAGAAAGAGCCTTCAGGCGTATTTGCTCGTATTTGCCGCATAGAAAGAACTGAAGGCTTCTCTCACTGAATTCTGGAGATCAATTTAAATTGTTTCTAACTGTGGCTCAATCATCAAATCCCAGATGTTGGCCTCCTGCAATAAAAACAAAGAAAAATGTTATTGCGCTTTGAAGACTAACAAATTTATCATGGCAGAAACTTCCATCCACTGCAGTCCACTTCATTAGATTCAGTTCACTGCTTTTTGGAAGTTTATGGCTTAATGGATTTGTTCACCTTTCGGGTGCCCTGAGCTTCTTATATCGGAATAATCAAATGCTCTGGGAGTCTTTGTCCAGCCACAGATCAGGGCCACTTAACTTATTCTGTGACTTGCTGAAATCTTGCGTGTGGATTTCTGACTTGCTGCTCATGTTTGGAGAGGTCGTTTTCTCTGCCATTCTATCAGTAGAGGGCACAAAAGAGCACAGGATGGTGTTAATATATTGTTCATATTCATCTTGTCTTCCGTGATTTGAAGCTCTGAACTGCATGAAATACTGTGTCTAAAATCCAGCAGTGTACTCCCTGTCAGAATATAGTGTTTTGTGATAATTTAAAGAAGCAGGCGTTTATGTAAGTGTGCTTTCTAAATGCAAAAACAACTTGACTCGGTGAAATTCGGAATTATGAGGGTTTCGGTGGAAACCTCGCAGAGCTTTTTAATGGATGCTTCATAAAGGAAAATTAATGCATTTAAAAATCCCTTTCCCAACTTTCTCCCCTTGTTTTTCATTGCGGAATGTGGGTCGCCGCCGGTTTGCAAGTTATTTTGTAAACATGCTGCAGATACCGCCGGATGATCTGTAAATGGCCTTTGATTCATATATTCTGTGTGCAGTGGAAGCGATGTGCTTTCATTCTGCCGTCTTCATACCCTCCATCCTGTCTTGTCTGCGTCCATCTCTTTTCTGAAAGGCTGAATAGTAGCTGTCTTTTCCTTTCAAGTCCCTTTGGCTGGGTCCATCTTGCTCAGGACTTCCTTTTCCATTTTCTGGGAAATATGCACCCCAGAATTCTGGGAAATGGCGATCCCTCGTTGCTTGTCCCCTTTTTATTTTATGGCTGGGGTATTTGTCTGTGCTGTTGAGCAGACGATGTGGGACCTGGAAGGAACCCTGCTCAAACAGTGATTTTTGTGCTGCGCAGACTTTGGAATAAATTCCAGAAGCAACCTCTCCCTTCCTCGAAGGGGTTCGGGAGGGGCATCGTTGCGCCTTTGACCCGCGAGGTGAGTTGGAAGGCTCATAAACGTGGCGAGTGCTGGATGCCCTCGTGGAAGAAAAGAATGATAAAGCCATTTTGCCCTGTTGCTTTTCTGGGGAAACTTTGTCCTTCTCCTTCCCTATGAGAAGCACAGTGCTCTCAGCGCCTCTGCTTGGGCCCGTTCCGCTTGGCTGTGGTCAAGCATCGACCAGTCCCTCCCAGTAGCAGCCACAGAGCCCTGGGGGCGCCTGCATACACCCGTGGGCTCTGGAGCTGGTCTTTGTGGCGCAGGTGAGCAAGGGCGCACAGCCCCGCCGGACCGGGGACCGCAGAGCGGCTGGGAAGCTCGCAGAAGCCTGGAATGTCGCATAGGAAATGTTTGCATGGTCTCCTGGCCCTGAAGAAGAGGGTTGGATGAGTGCTCTGGGGCACGGGCACACACCTGGCAGGTAACGAAGGTGGCGCTCTCGTGGGTTGCACACACCAGGGCCCGGGGGCGTCGTGGGCTGCTTAAGGGGAAACTTGCTACGGCCAGATGAATAAATAGTTTGTTTTGTGCCGTGGCCAGGTGCCGTAATAAACCTTGCCTCCCCGTGACACGTTAGACAAAAGTAATATTGTCTAACATGGGGGAGGGTCTCGCTCAAGCTCTCCTGGATTAATTTCCCCATTCAAAGCCAGGCCTAAGCACTGCAGTGGATGGAGGTGTGGCTGAGCCTGGACCGGCGCTTCGCATGGCCCCGGGCTTCTCGAAATGCTCCTCGCCATCTCCGGAACAAAACTAGCATCCCCGTCCCCCCGGTGCACTGGGTTTTTATTTTATCTTTGGAAATATTTTCACTGCTGGCTGCAAAACCCCGATCGGCCATTGATGACAGTGGGGAGAATCGTTTGTTAAACAGAACAGCCTAACAAGCCAACTTCAAACTGCAGCCCTTTTGTTTTGATTATTCCCTCCTTGAAGGGATGTGTTTGTGAAATGCACAGTTCTGAGACGCTTTGAGGCATAAAGCCAAAAAGGGCATCAGAGCTGCTATTTAAATAACTTTGCAGATTTTGAAAATATACACTAAATTACGGGATGTACATTTTTCAAAATAGATATTTGAGATTACAGATAGGTTGTAATACGGTCTGCGAAATCTGTATTTGCTTGATCTGGGGGGAATTCAAAGCAGTCTCTTTTTCAAAAGGGTATTGGGTTGGGAAAGAGCAAACCGTAATTTTGAATCAGGGTGTGTGTGTGTGTGTGTGTGTGTGTGTGTGTGTGTGTGAAGGGAGTGGATATTTCTCAGTTTTATTCACGAGTCACAGAAAATGCCCTCCGAGCCAACGAGGTTTGATTTAAAAACTGTTGCCATTCCCAAATGCAAAAGGAATATTTGTTAACCGTTTCAAAGTTCAAGGGATAATTTATGGGTTTTAATCCACGTGGTTTCTGAGTGAGCGCCTCTGAAGTCAACCTCTCAGAGTTCTGTGTTCTGAATTATCCCGCAGCCCATTTATTCAACCCGGCGTTTTTAACGGCGTCTTATTTGTTTCCAATAACTAGCCAGAAAAATGTATCACCATGCGCCCGGCTGAGCTGGTTTATCTTGGGGGAAAGAAGACAGAGACCGCTTGCAAACCGGTTTCATTTTTTTAACCCCCCACCAGGTTCCTTTAACCTTCTTTTATAAAATGAGAAATAATTGCATCAATTCCCCCCCCCCCCGCGCAAAGTTTTATTTTCTGTGCGGCATCGGCAACCTTAGCATTTCTTAATGCACGTTGGAGAGCTTAGTTGGGGTTCTGGCAGCAATGCAACATTTGCTTCTGTGCTGGCAGCTTATCTGCATATAATTCTTCCCGTCTCCTTCTCTGCCAAGGTATTCTCCAGTGCGCACATGTGGATGTATGTGCTGCGCATCCATGCACGCACACAGACAGACAAAATCTGACGGTGTATCTAGCAGCTTTTCTAGTTGTTCAAAGCCTTCCTTTTGCCCATATATATATATATATATATAATTATAAACTGCGTTTTCCCCATTAGCTAATGAATCTGTATTGCTGACTTCAGGTAATTTTATTCGGCGCTGTTTTCCACCCACCCATTGCAAAAATAGCCGTGTAAAAGCGCCCAGGCGGCACCAATTTACCATGGCAGTGATTCCAAAGCAAGAATTAACAGCACGGACGATTAACTTATGGCAAAATGCTCCTTCCTGTGCTTGTGCCTAGATTTTTTCCTGCATATTTTGGAGTTGTCCTGAGAGTCAGAGGTAGTGAGGAGAAGGCATTGCCTTCCACATCACTGGGACGAGATCAGCAGCTGTACCAGAAATAGCCTGTCCCGGATGTTCTGTCGAACCAAGCTGCTTCTTAACTGCAGATGTTTGTACGTATGCGAGATGAAGTCATGCGGGCTTCTTGTCGACT